GGTGTTTAAAAATAGGCGCCGTAGTCGTAGTAGGTCTGGCTGAAAATGTGGCGGTCCGTTCCTGCATGTCAATAAGTAGTGATACCAGCCTGCTAGGTGAACGCATAAGACCCCCTTCCTTTGTGAAAAAGTCAGAAGAAGTCCGAAAATTTCAGAGAGTCTTTCTTCCACAGCCAGAACGCACAACTCTCCAGAAAAGCCCCATGAGGTTCCTGCAGCTTGGGAAGTTCCGGATCGGAGATGTGGATGGCAGGCGTGGTTCTTACTCGAATGCTTTGTCGAGGTCTGACGCTTCTGATCCCAAAGTTCTTTCACCTTCGCAGTAGCCAGATGCAGCCATAGTGTTGATCGAAGGCGCTTCGTGGTCACCCATCTCAAAACCGGAAATCTGCTTCAGCTCTACAACAGTGACGGCACGCTTGACCCGGATGAATCAGCGTCTTGGGCCGGGCAGCTCAACAATCGCTATGCCCAGTTCCACTGTGGCGGCGTCCAGACAATTCTTGGCACCTGTCCCTCGACTGAGAAGCGAAGGTTAGTTTCAGCAGGAGCAGCCCTCTCTTTGCTGTGTGTTACAATGTAAGGTCCCGGCATCACCACGGGAGACCGATTCATGCAGTTGGGCGATTGGCGCCTTGCTGCCATGGACAACAATCACTTCAGCATTTCGCACCGCAACGGTGAGACAGCCATGATTTACAAATCTGATGGGACACTTCACAAAGGGCCGCGGGAGGACTGGGGTGGTTGGGACCGTGAGGCAAAGAAAGTCACAACGCCAGGTGCCTCCCTGTTACAGTGGATGGGAGGACGGCGGCGGCTGCTCAAAAGTAAGAAAATTAAGTTTCCTCAAGTCCGACATGAAAGGATCAAGTTTGGAGATCGCTTTATTCAATTCGGCAAGTTCCGAATTGGTGAAGCGGATGAGACCCATTTCTCCATTTCGCACAAGGGCAAGGACGGCGAAACCAGCCAAACCATTCAGATCTTCCGCTCTGATGGCACCTTGCACCCTGGTCCTCGCACGAGCCATGGCTTGTGGGACCGTGAGACGGGTGCAGCCCAGGGGGTTACGTTTGGAGATCGCTTTGTGCAGATCGGCAACTTCAGAATTGGAGACGTCGACTCCAGTCATTTCTCAGTGTCGCATGTGCAGGGGCAGACCATCCAAGTCTTCCGGTCCGACGGGACGACGCATCCAGGCCCTCGCACAGATTGGACGACATTCGGCCGTCAGCTCGTGGATTGCACAGTCGAGTAAGGCTGAATCTCGAGCACCAAGCTCAAGATCATGTGTGAAGCTGCTCGGCTGCTTAGCCGCGAAGCAGCAGCAGCTTGACGATGCAATGCGTGCCCGACACTTGGCTAAAAAGCGGCGCGTCCTTGGCATGTTTAGGGTTTGGGGTTTAGGGGTTTAGGGGTTAGGGGTTTGGGTTAGGGGTTACCGGTTAGGGTTTAGGGTTTAGGGAGTAGCAACCGCACGAGACAAAAAGAGAAGATGCATGTTGCGATATGTTGCGTGTCGGGACGTCTTTAGCCTCTGCATCTGTGTCTTTCACTGGAGTGCTTCAGCTAAGGGCCGAAAGTGCCATGTAAGTTTGTCCAGCGCGGCTAAGCAGCAAGAGCTTGGCGGAGCCATGACCGCAGGGCCTGTCGGCTCAGCTGCGCCTCAGTTCTATACCCGATCACGTTGGAATGTGTTGGAATCGAACGATGGGTCATGCTCATTCAGTCACGAACTTGAAACTGACACAGAAGCAAGCAAGTAAACGCAAAAGCTTACGCACGTCTGTGTCGGCAGATGGGAAGCTCATACAATGATGGAGCGCAAAGGCATGAGAACGGAAATGTTTTTCTTGTGAAGCCGCAAGATTTGCCTTTTCAAGTTTTGTAAGTTTCGACCCTTCTGAGCAGGCACTGGTGATGTGCTGCAGAACATGATGCCGGATTGAAGTTAGATGCTGACCCCGCCGGTGCTTTTCTTAGTGACTGCAGTCCGGAAGTTAGTTTTCGAGCTTCGGCTATCGATCGTGGAGTCTCCGTCGAAATCAAGGAAGTCGCAGATACTTGTGTCCTCTGGTTCCCTTCCATTTGGGAGCTCCACTGTCTCGTGGCAGGCAGATGACCGGGATCCGACAATCCAGCTGCATGGGCCCAAGATTGGGGGGTGCAGCTTGACGGTTTCAGGGCTTAGCGGCTTAGCTTTGATGGTTTCAGGTTGAAGCAAGACTTTGGATTCAGGTTTGAGGTTTTTGGCTTCCGGACCAAACATGCCCACATCCGGTCTTCACTCCCTTCCAACCCTTTTGAACCACATTACACCGGTGCAACACGTGAACCCCTGTAGACCTAGTGTAAATCCTCCTTCGAATAAAGCCCTCTCAACTCCTTGTAAATCCGAGACGTTTTTGTCTCTCCAGAAGTTCTTTTTAATCTTGCATTTCATCCTAAACCCAAACCCTGACCCTTTCAAGCAGACGTGTGCAACCATGTGAGCCCTTTTCACCTCCGAGCGTCTAGCGCTTTTGGTGTTTAGCGAGTTTTGGGTGGTTGGGTTTCGCTTTTATCGGGCTTCGGGTTTCATCGAGCATTCGGGCTAATCGGATTTCGAGTTTAGTTGTTTTCGTTTGTTGGGTTGGATTGGGTTGCGGGATTGGGCTTTAAGGGTTTCGGTTTAGGGTTTAGGGGTTTTAGGTTTTTAGGGTATAGGGTTTAGGGTTTAGAATATACGTTCCATACGTCCGCGTTGCAATGAAAAACCATTAGAAACCAGTGAAAAACCAATAAAAACCAAACGAAACCAATAGGAAACTAATAAAAACCCAATAAAAATCAATAGAAACCAATAGGAAATTCATACGGTTTAGGGGTAACCCTAAATCCAAGCCTAGGGCCCTATAGGCTCCAAACGAACCGTTACAGAAAACCTCAAAAGAACCCTCTGTGACCCCTAATTTCCGAATCCTAAATCGCCAGTTACATATTCAACGAGCAGGATTTTAGGGAACGCCTTGCTACGCCGGATGCTTTGTGAAGGCACGTATACGTGGGACTATTACCAGAGGCTCTTCTTTAAACTCAGAGGCGCTGCCTCGTCGGGCCGAGCCCGCTCCGCCGCTCCGTTGTGGCCGTGAATAGCCCCCACGGGTTTAAGTAAATTGACAGTGTTA